CGTAACTTCACACCAGCACTGAAAAAAATGGTTCTGTGGAAAACTAACACTATGTTTTATTTCAAAACAGACAGACAAAAGTGACAATTTTTGCCCAATCTGGCCACAGAAAGAAGTTTGTAGCTGTGACCAAACACAAGTGCATGACTGCAAACAGCTTCAAAAATGGCAGAGCAGATGAAAATCTTACTCCTCATTGCATGAGGTATCAGATAAAGACATTTCAAAATGTAGTGTCTTCTGTGACTTGTGTCTACCCAGAGCTCCCAGCCTGTTGCTGTTTTTAAAATGGGAGAGGGGAAAGGGAGCACAAGGAGTTCAGTCTGGGGGGGTTTCAGCCCGCTCAGAAGGTGGGATGGGTGTATTGGAGCCCCCCTCCCCCCCAAAGTGTGTGCGGTGGGGGGCTCCAATTCACCCAACCCAGCTTCAGCACCAGTTGGGGAGCCCCAAGAACGAGCTCTTTTGGCTGCCTTTCCTCTCTCCCATTCTGAAAACAGCGAGCTCTGGCAGAGAGCCCTGGCCATTGCTTTGGGAAGCTGGTTGCAGGCTCCCAGCCCCAGGTAGATTTCCCTCCCCCATGGAACCAACAGAGACCTTCTCTTTGGTCTGGGGGTAACCTTGTAACTCAGAACGCTTTGTAGAAATTGTTGAGTTACAACTGGGAGCTGCACTTCTGTCTGCACCCAGAGTTTGGACAACAGTTCATGTAGTTCAAATTCCTCTTTTACTCTGACACTTTACAAAAAGCTTGACAATGGTTAGGCTGCCAACATGCTGCAATAACTGCTTATCATGCCAAATGATACTGGCATGCAGTACCTGCTGTCAGGTACACAAGAGTGCCAGGGATACAGTGTAGACATATGCTAATTTCCCTGTTCTCACTCTGTGTCTTTCCATTTTTTCCATTAGTCATCTTGGGAAATGGTTTTGGTGGGCTTTGGGTTTTTTTGTTTTTATGCTTTTTGCATTTGTACATTACCTAGCACAAAGTGGTCTTGATTATGATTATTAGGTGCTACAGTGATTCAAGCAATAATATTGTATTTACATTTCTATTTATGTGAATAATTGTGTTTTAAAGGATTATCTTAAGCAATTCTGTATACGTAGAGATGAGTGTATTTTTGAGGATTTCAGTGGCTTTATTGTCAAATGCAAAAGTACTACACAGTAATCCTTTCAAGTGTTATATTTTACCTTAGCGCTGCATTGTTATTTAAAACAAAATGTATTTTTTTTGTTCTTAAGTATAAGACATTTAGCATGTGGAGATATGGATGAGTATTTAAATGCAATATATGACTAGGGAGTGTGCTACTGTGTCCACTCTAACTCAGCAATCAAAATATACTTGTTAATCCATGTACAAAGTGAATAAAATATGTGAAGTAAAATGGAAGAATATTTTTAAATTACAGAAGGAAATACTTGTTCCTCATTTAAAAAATAAAGTTCTATGAAACCGTGGCTTTTTCTGTCAAAGTATGCATTGCATGTAGAAACTTACTAGACGTCAACCCAAACTGAAATTCTTTATGCAAAGACTGCAAATATATTTATTTGGAAGAGAGGTAAGGGGGCAAAAAAGCCCCCTTGGCTGAACAGGGAACTCCAGAAGAGTCTGGGGGCAAAGAAAGAGATGTATAGGCAATGGAAGCAGAGAGCAGCCACCAAGGAGGAATATATCTCCCTGACGTGCTATTGCAGGGAATCAGTTAGACAGGCCAAGGCAGGGCTTGAGCTCAGGCTGGCTTCAACATTCAAGGACAACAAAAAGTCCTTCTTCAGGTATATAGCGGGCAAAAGGAAAGCTCAGAGCAACATAGGGCCCCTGCAGGACAAATCAGGACAGTTGGTGGTTGACGCGGGGAAAAAAGCAGAGCTCTTCAATGAGTTCTTCGCTTCAGTATTTCTATGTACCGACCAAGCCAATTCCCCCACCTCGATCATTGACGGATGTCCACATGGCACCAGTCCGCCTACGGTTAGTTCTGAAATAGTTAAGGAGCTCCTGGAGGAGCTGGATGGGTACAAGTCAGCAGGCC